GCGTAGTTGTTCGGCAAAAGTCGTAGCCTTTTACAGGTCAGTTCTAGCCCAGGTGTTGCCTCGTTTCCTAATTGGTGGTATATGCAGTTTATGTTGTTTTATTTTACGGGTAGTCTTGCACAAAGAATAATTCGTGGCTTCGGTTGGGGTTAGTCCTCTGAGGTATTCTTGTACTGAGTCACTTTTTAGTTTATATGTTAACTTTTTAAGTTCTTTTGCAAGTCTGTTGAACTTTAGTTTATCAGCTGGACTCATTAGTTGCTATCTTTTTCTAGCTTTCCTTTTTCGCGGAGTCTTTCTTTCAATTCTATTGGGCATTTTTCTGTGACGTGTGTGTTATTTCTATCTGCTGTTGCTTGCCTCGCTGCTTCTTGTATGGCTTTATTTAGAGTTTCCACGGCTTCTTCTATATCTAGATTGGTTTTTAGTGGCATTTCTAGAGTGATGAGCTCGTCTAGATTTTCTCTAAATGTATTCCAATTCTTCTTGCTGCTAGTGAGCGATGATTTTTTGGGTTTTCCTTGTACGGAGGTTAGGATGGTCACTAGTATTGGCGTATGATCCGAGGTAAGCTCCAAACATGATTCAACGAGGATATTTTTTGAGTTGATTCCTTTTGCGATGCAGAAGTCAGTTAGGTCTGGTATTTTCTTAGGATCAGACGGCCAGTACGTAGGTTGCCTTGTTGTTATACAAATTAAGTTATTGTTTCCAATAAATTTTTGTAGTTCCCTGCCTTTTTTTGTTGTAATTCTTGAACTCCAAATTGTATTCTTGGCATTGAAGTCTCCGCCTACTAGGAATCGATTACCTAATATCTGCAAGAAGTATCATTAAAAGTGGAGCCGGGATGGTGGAGTTGGTATAGCGACTGGTTACCGGCTGGACGACCAAGGGGTCGGAGTTCGAGTCCCGGTGTTTTCAAGAATTTTCACTTTTCCATTGTCGTTCAGACCGGGTTTGGGGTCCATTCAACCTCCTACCCAATTGGTACCAGGGGCTCTTTCCCCAGGCCGTGAAGCTGACCACTCACCTCCAACTAGTGCCGAGGTCAAGAAAAAAATTTGGGTCTATACTTCCACTCTCCCATACGCCTTCATGGCGTAGTGCTTACTTAGTTAAGTACAGGGACAACTTTACCTTATCTACCTTTACCTCAGTCATTAAAATGACTGGCTGCATATGTTGGTGTCGATTTCCGTCAGCGCAAGGTTTTCCTCCTCGCCATGTTGTTCAGACCAGCTATGGCGTCCAATGGAAATATTAGTATTTCTCCCGGGATCAAAGCAGCTGGAGCTTGATTCTGACCACTTGTCCGTATAGTAAACCAATATACAGAATAAGCATACTTCAATACACATCATGCACCTTCGTGATGTGTCCTTCAGCACTGATTTTCTGCCTTTGTGTATTGCCAAGAGCTGATATTTGCGCAAAAAGAAATTTTTCACACGAATGAGAAGAAAATATTATGAAATATGAAGTATGTATTAGCATGTATTCTATGATCTTGTTCAGCGCTGCCATTACAATTTACAAATTATAAACTAATCTTATTTTTCATTTAGTCTTAGTTTACATGTCTGCGCTCTAATGTCTTGAGTATTTGTAATTTTACTAAAGGTTTCAGTACAATAAAATATAAAAAGAGCCCTCTCTTCTGAGATTTAACGCCGTGTATTCCGTTGAAAATCAATCAAATTTTCAGAGTAATATGTCGCCTCTATCTTCGGGGTCCAAGAATAAACCAAGCAAGAAAACAGCATGAAGCAGGTAGCAAGCGGGTAGCACCGTTATATCCCAGAAGGTGTAACCCTCAGTGACCACTGCTTTGAGAATTTCAAATCTAACAATAAAATACATTGGAACCTCGCTTAACGCGCACCTCTCATAACGAGTAATTCGCATAACGAGCAAAACAAATTGTAAAAGAAATCACTCGCTTAACGAGCGACGTTTCGCATAACGAGTGACGAGAGGGGAAGTCCCGGATTGTGCGCTTGCTACATCAGTCTGTGTTTAGCACTCGTTCAGCTAGCATCTTAGTGTCGCTTGTGATCACACATTTTTCCAAACTTGTGTTTAGACATATTATTTGTGTGTTTTCTTTTGGTGCAAAGTTCAATAACTCTTGCAAAAATGTCCCAGAAGAAAAAGACAGCCATAAGAGCATAAAAATAACGGTGGAAATAAAATGTAAAATCATTGAAAAGCGAGAACGAGGTGTGAGCGTGGCTGATCTAGCACGCACATACAATCGGTCTACATCAACGATTTGCACGATTTGGAGTTGCATTGTGTTCCACAGCAAGAAGTTGTGGAGGAGAGTTTGTCAGAGGAGGAGGAGGAGGAGGTAACAGCAAAGCTTCAATCTTCTGGCGCAATACAAACCGAAGTGAACGGAGAAGTTCATGGAGGTAGGCCTATTCCCACTGGGGCTGTAGTGCCAAGGAAAAAATAATGCACGTGAAAAGAAAATTGACGAAACTAGGAATCTCGAAGTTATTAATAAAACAACTCTCTATTCACGCGACTGATCGTCCGAGGTGACCTCACTGCATAGAGTCATCATGAAAGTATCACGACATATTTCTATTAAAGGCTGACTCCCGTGTCTGCTGCTTAAATGTCATTCTGTTATAAATGATAACGGAAGGTCTTCCAAATGTCATTATGAAATAAATGATAAAACAGGTCACTCAAATCTAACGCCAGAACAAGATTAAATTAATATTTCAGGGTTTTATAGTCAGTCATCTTGTTTCTGATGATGGTGAAATTATAACAATCCGATAAACCACACGATGGAACCCAAATTATAAGAAGTAATTTTTATGCATAAATTAAAAATACCCAGTACTTTTAAAAATAGGTTATACAGAAAAAAACATTAATTATTTGAAGATGGTAATAAAAATGTAAGATTGTTGGGAGAGGTGGGTTACAGATCCCTGCAAAAGTAAAAGTAGATTGTGGAATAAGGGGCAGGAAGATCCAAGGAGAAAAGAGACGGGATTTCAGCAATAAAAACTGAACTTGGTGTTTCCATAAATTCAGGTGTCACGAGTGTGAACACTATACGTGCCGGTATAATAAAAAGCTGATTTGTTAATGATTTTAAATTAAATATAACATCCATATTACAGTCGCTGCTTTCCATAAGATTGCGATGCTATTCTTTACGCTTATTTAAATGTTTTTTCCCCTGTGGTGAACAAATTGTCTCTAGGGCACGTTTTCTCTCAGTAATTTAGTTTCCCCAGCAAGTTTTCAGTATATCAACTGCTCTGCATTCATTCATAATCGTCTAATAGACATCATATAATGCTGCTGCTGAAACCGTCGTTAAATAGTCAACCAATCGCCTAATTTCTCTCTTTTGAATTTAGAATGCTAATGGATATTCATTTTGAGGGCACACGGTAGCGTAGTGGTTGAGGCACTATGCTTCAAGTCGGAAGGTCGCGGGTTTAAATACCGATGAGGTCATTGGATTTTTTTCAATTCACCTAATCTTTAGGCCGCACTATGGCCCTGGGGTTAAATCAGAAATGAGTACCAGGAATTAATTAAATAATTTTCCTGGGGAGTAAAGCGCGGCCGGCGCGTAAGGCTGACAACCTCACCGCCATCTTTGAGCCGATTGTCTAGATAATGTTGAACCCTCACGGCCTGTTACAGGGATGGCTTTATTTTTTTTTACTTTAATCGATATTAATTTCGATATAGACATTGAATACTCCTCAACATTCACGTCGTTATCAAATTATTTTACGGTCCAAAATCTAAGTGGAAAGTAATTTATTTTTTCTCTGTTAAATGTATAATAATTTTATAAATTATATTATATATTATTGCATTATAAACATCGTAGGATTAATGATATCAACATTAACAACAAAAATAAAAAAATGAAAATAAATTAAAAATGAAAAGATTTACCGAAAGAGGGAAGATGCCTTCTTCCATCCATCGGACATGTTTCCTTTTTCAAATAATCTACTCAATTGCAGGCCTGTTGATGATGATGCTACGAGTAGATTAATTGACATTCATGCTCAGGTACGCTGTCATTTGTTTCTATATTTGATCATCATGTCTACTTTAAAATAACAGAAGGATTAAACTACATTGTGACGTATAGACCAATTGCTAGGCAACGATTCGGTAAACACGTTCCCGCGGGAGTGAATGCGCGCAAAGTAGGACGTTTATTGCTAGGCAACGGTTCAGCAAACGCTCCTAAAACAATACAGGACAATATAAAACAATTTTTTTTTCGTGGAATCGGTATCATGGCTCTATAACGGGAAGTTCCAAGGGAACAGGTAGTTGTCAGAAGTTGGATGAGTTCAGTGAAAGAAGAGATCATTTGAGAGAGTTTTGTCAAGAATTGGGTCGAGTGCTGGAGTTGACAGTCTAAGGTTATTGAGAAAAAATCGCAAGAATTGAATTAGACTGTGCAAACAAAGTTTCATATGTGACTTGAAATTACAGTAAGACGATTATAAATCAATTGCCAGACTGAGAATCTTAGTGCGTGTGTAACCGTGAACTGCAAAGTGTGTAAGTCAGCGATAGCGCTATGGTTCCGAGTTATGAATCTATAAGGTGCAATAAACTCAATCGTCCAATCAAAACATCGTCTTATAAGTCACCCCTACACGTGACAATATAGTACGTTATTTCTCCTCCTGTTTTATAGAGGTGTTAAACTCTGTGTTCTATCCTGCATGAACAGAAGAAAAGAGTGAAGGCACCTGGGAAAGTATGGAATAATAGGAGAATGATAAAAACTGCTTAAACTTACTTTTTATCTAACATTGTCAGGGTGATTAAATTAAGAAAGATTAGACGAGAAAAGACATAAGCTTACCTTGGAGAAAGAATAAGTGCATAATCCACATTGATGGAGACAACAAGATAAGCAGATTAGTTAATACTGAAATAATTTTAAAATGTGTCTTGGAAGAATCGGTTCTAAAGTGCACTTGCTCAAATCATGGTTGAATAGCAATTTTATTTTGATATAACGGTAATGAAAGTTCTTGTTCTATAACATAGTTGAATTACATTGGTATCTGAATATTTGTTATTTCTTCAAAGATATTCATGTGCAATGTAATACTTCGGGTCACATGATATAACAGTGCTCGCCATACCAGGTACACCAGTGACATTAATTACCTCATACAAAAAGCCTGAAATTGTAGAGTTCTTTTTCGTAGACTGTGCCCCCAACTTAAGATAAACGTAAGAGAAGCATTACATTTAAACGTTTCATACAAACATTGAAAGGTTTTAAGGAAATCTATTAAGTTCTCCATATCAGCTGTTATCATTATTTTGAATGTATCAGTACTCCGTGGGTCATCACCAGTTTTGTGATTCGCCATCCTCTGCTTTCTCAGAGATTTCGTCCGTCCTGCTCCTCCACTGCGGGTGCGAGCCGTCACCTCTCTCTTCAACTGTGCGACGGACCATTTCGACTGTTGGTGCCCTGAGGTCATACGCCCAGCCAAGAAGTGAAAAAAGGTCTATAAGACCTGTGGTGAGGTTGAAAGTATATCGCCCTAATTCGGCTGCTTTGTAGTCCCACGGAAACACGTGATGGTAATTGTGCCACCCCTCACCCAACGCTAGCACCGCCACCGAAAGATTTTCTGTAGGACTGATTCTCCTGCAACATCATACAGTAAAGTATTTATCTTTGCATTACGCGATGGTAGGGCTCTAGAAGCTAATAAAGAAGAGGGAACAGAATATCGGATGATAATATTCTTTGGATTGGATATTAACAAGGAATCAAAATTCAGCAACGATTTAGAAGTAATTTTAACCAAGTTTTAGCAGCAAACAAATTTGATTTCATGGCCAAAATGGGCAACGAGATAAAGATATGAGAGGGATCAATGGGGGTGAAGGGTGAAGATGAGAAATAAATTATTACCCATGGGACGTTCTAAGGTCTTTACCTTTTTTTATTGCTAGTGGGGTGGGACTTGTACTGCGACCACTTCTGGCCTATTGTACCAGCCCAAGATGATAGGTGAGGGTGATTGTGGAGCAATTGATGGAATGAAGATTGGCAGGGGAAACCGAAGTACTCGGAGAAAACCTGCCAGCGCCACTTTGTCCACCACAAATCCCACTTGACGAGACCCGGGATCGAACCCGGGCCGCAGCGTTAGGAAGCCAACGACCAAACGCTTGAGCTATGGCGCGGCCCGAGGGCTTTACCTTAGTAAGAATATATTGGAAATTTACCTGGAGAATGATTTGCTATATCTTGCTGTAATATTTAATAGACTGGAGTATATTTACTGGGTTAAAAAGCAAAGAAAGACGAAAGGTGCAAATATTAGTATGCCTTAAGTCGCGCATAAGATCGAAAGGCACATGACGATGCAGATCAAAGATCTTGTCGATGATTCGTCCACATGTGCACCTCTCTTCTCCTCATGCTTAACCCTTTCCATGCTGTTTTTCAAGAAACTTTACATTAGCACATTTGCACGATATCTTACCATTGTTAAACAACTATCTAATACGGAATACGAGTATTGTATTGAGTTGACTGTTAACTGCTGAGACATGCCGAGACAATCTCCTTTCACGGGATATCTAGTAGAGGGTATGTATCATGAAAAGTGCTAACATGATGAAGCCTGGATATACCCAACGTTGATAACACTATTCAGTCACCTGTCATAAGGCTTGTTGCCCCAAATGTGGGCTGCGCTGTTTACTAGCCATGCGAAGTTCAGTCCTAAAACGTAGCGTACCACACCCATACCCAGCGCCGAGTACTGCCACTTTTCGTCCCACAACAAGGGAGGTACTGCTATGGGTATGGCGAAACAGAAGATTATCTTGAGGAGCGTGAAATATCTGGAACAAACAGAACAAAATTCAATGTGCAGCCTTCTAAGAAGTATCGCATAGTGACAAAGTGGTGAAGCCAGACGTTTCTGAGTAACTTGCCTCCTTCAGAGCCTGAAGAGAAAATAAATTAGTGTCAGAGGTTTTTATACGTCATCATCCGCTAACTGATGGTTCGATCCATCGACACCCACGCAGTATTCCAAAACATCTATTCGATTGTCCTCAGGTCAACGGATGATCGCCAACGCGCGCATATTGGCGGTACTTACGACAGTCATGTCGGCCAGCTGTTCTGGTGTGTGATAATGCAATGTTCACTATTTTTCATTATATTTTGCAACTTTCTGAATAAAATTAATGTAGTTGTGGGCCCTACAGTCAAAGGAATTTGTCTCTGTTCTTTACTAATTAAGCACTGCGCCATGAAGCCGAATGGGGGAGTGGATGTATAGATCCACAGTTTCTTGACCTCGGCACTAGCTTAAAATGAATGACAAACTTCACGCCCCGGCCGCTTTACCCCCGGTACCGATTGGATAGAAGGTTGGGTGGACCTCAAAGCCGGTCTGGACGACTTGGAGAAGATAAAATCCTTTACCCTATCGGGAGTCGAACTGCGACCCATTTGTTGTCCAGCCCGTAGCCAATCCAAGGAGACGCAAATGTTAAAATCTGGGTAGTGTGCCAAAGAATCGCTAATCGACCAAGTTTCATGGAACTAATTAATGTAAGTTAAGGTGGATGATTATATAGGAATACTACTGTTACTTACGGTTCATTGGTCCAGAATGAACCTAAGGGTCACGAAATATGATGGTTCAGATCTGCGTAAAAATGGCATCTGATAATTTTGATGATCACCCACCCAAGACAGACATAACTAGTTTCTCCACCACTGGCCAGCATACTCATGTTACTACGTTTACAGATGGTGCATATAGACCATCCTGTGGGAAGTGCTGTCACAGAATGTTAAGTACAATAAACAGAATAAAGCAGTTTTCGTCGTGTTTGTTGGCAAATCCTACGGCCCTTTATAAAATCAATAGGCTCTATGGCGCTGTATGTTTCGGAGGAAACCGAAAGGAGCGGTTGAACAGCTGCCACTCATACTAACCCTTCAAGAAAACCTGAGCTCATATCTCAGCCTGCAGACCACCAATTGTGGCAGATGTTCTTCGTGGTTCTCCTTAGTTCCTCCAGGCAAATTTTGTCCACAATTTTCCCAATCCCTTATTCGCTGTAATCGGCCTATCATTCGACGCTACATAACTTGAGCTACTCATAGAGTCGTTTAGTAAATAAATAAAGAAGGGGCAGAAAAGTATGATCAAGTCAAGAATGATGAGATTGGAAGGAGGGCGTGTAGCACGAATGGGGGAGAGGAGGAATGCATGTAGGATATTGGTGGGAAAGCCGGAAGGAAGGAGACCACTGGGAAGACTAAGACGTAGGTGGGTGGACAATATTAAAATGGATCTTATAGAGATAGGATGGGAATGTATGGATTAGATTGATCTGGTTTAGGATAGAGACCAGTGGAGGGCTCTTGTGAACACGGTAATGAAAACTCTGGTTCCATAAAATGCTGGAAAGTTCTTGAGTAGCTGCAGAATTGGTGCCTCCTCAAGAAGGGCTCAGCTCCATGAGTGAGTGAGGGACAGAAAAATAATAAAAATAATGAGTAGGCTAAGAGATGGCTGCCGTGAAGTTACTGTGGAAGACCTCCTGGTTATCCGGTATTCTCCTGAGATCGGAAACTTTTCCCTTGGGAAGACATGTTTACATCGTGAATACTACCTTAATCTGCTCGGTATCTCGTGATTATGTGTTGAGAGAAGTGCCTGAAAATAAGGTCGTTAGAAAGGTACTACTGCAGAGACGCTGCGTCCATAGTGGTACAGTCCACGCGCCGTGCCACTGGTGTCCATCAGACACAACAACAGACATCCATGTAGCCACCCTTTCTACTACGGGTGTCTGATGTGTTTACTAGGGGATCCGCTTCGCACACTCATGATCAAAATACAACACCAAATGTAAAAATAAAGATGCATAATAAAGGTTTCAAAAAGCTCTTCTAAATAAGCGTTTTTCATGAAAATTACGGCAGCCGACGACAGAGAGACTCTCATTAGTAGACTCAGCTACCGGCTGAATTAGTATCACTTGCAACCAGCAGATATTGCATCTTGTCGGCGCATTGTGTAACAATAATCTTACGCGCCATCGTAAAGATTTTATTGTGCACAGATGTACCTACACATTATTCCACTCTTGCTAAATGGTGTCCCACAAGATCTCGTGACACAATGTTGTCAGACGAGAGAGTAACGCGACGCATCCAAGAACATCCCGGTCATTTCCTTCCCTACTCCAGACGGTCCAGACTCATTCCAGTTTCAGCTCACTCTTCTTCAGGCAAACTTATGCTCGGGTATCTAAAGGCGCGTCCACATTACTCGTGCTCGTGTTCGTGCTCGTGCTCGCCAGGCTTGTGCTCGTCGGGAGACTCGTCTGGCTTTCATTTGTGCTCGTAAAACTTCGTCCACACTACTTCAGTTGCTCTCCAGGCTTCGGCGCGTGAGGATTCGTATATTTACTCGTAGTGTGTATAGGCTGTAGTCGTATTTTAATTTATTGGCTACAGTTTTTAAATTAAAAATTTAAAATTTGCTTGTCTCGTGACTTGTCATATCGTCCACATTACTCGCGAGCACAGCGACTCACACGAGCACGAGCACGAGTAATGTGGATGCGCCTTAAGTCGAGTTCTTTGACTGTCTCAATTGAGCCTACAAGAGGTTGCAATTAATAGCTTCTACCCCGGTTCAAGCAAGAATATAAATGGATTCTTCTATTGGACCCGGAAATGCATCGTAGTCAGTTAGGAACTTGGGCTCTGGTGTCCTCTTTAAACAGATTTTTAAATTGCCAGTGGGGTGGGACTAAGTCCCTTATACTGCGGCCACTTCTGGCCTATTGTACTAGCCCCAGATAATAGGTGAGGGTGATTGTGGAGCAATTGGTGGAATGAAGATTGGCAGGGGAAACCGAAGTACTCGGAGAAAACCTGCTCCAGCGCCACTTTGTCCACCACAAATCCCACTTGACCAGANCTGTGATCGACTTTTCAATACATTCCCGGTATCTATCTATCTATCTATGGCTCTACAGCCTTTTGTTGGACATTAGCCGCTTTTCCAGTTTCTTGTACTTTTACACAGACTGTAGGTCTGTAGGACTCCTTGGACGAAGGATCATTCTGTCGCAAAGCCGCTCTTCATATACCGATGCGAAATTCAGACATAATCACACAGGACTTTTCTTTACTAAATTTGCCTATACATAACGTACCCTGGTTCACAGAGTAGCTGAACTACAGCTGCTACTCCGTGAGAGAGACATTCCATTGGTTTTAAGAACGGGAAGTAAGGACAGGTGTTACAACTTCCACATGGGAACAGTTACTTATTTCAAGCAGCAGAAGGAGAGAGGAGAACCTGTTCATGACGTTGCAAAGTTGCTAGAATGCTCTGGCGACGTATCTGATGCCGGTCAGCGAGCTTCGCACGAAGTTTCAACATTGCCGTAAACTTGGAGTTGTGTCACTCTTGTAGAGATAAGCTGTCACTCATCCTCCTGTTTCTTCAAATCCTACAACTCAGTTACTCTTCTCCAAAGAACTGAAGACCACACACTGTCTCGTCTTCTCCTAGCTGAAGTGTGTTATGTACTTGAATCTATATACACACATATATATATATATATACATATACGTATTTTTTAATTCGCTTAGTGGGGGGTGGAATCCAACTGGATCCACTCGGCACGGCGGCCACTGATGGGCCTATTGTAGCCTGCCCCTGCTGATTATGACGATGGAGAATTTCATGGAATGAAGATTGGCAGGGGAAACCGAAGTACTCGGAGAAAACCTGCCAGCGCCACTTTGTCCATCACAATCCCGCTTGACCAGACCCGGGATCGAACCCGGGCCGCCGTGGTGGGAAGCCAGCGACTAACTGCTTGAGTTATGGCGCGGCCCCGACAGCACAGTGTTGCTATCAAGGAAAGAATAGTCATTCATATGCGGTAGGAGCATAACAACTTGTCATTATCACGTGTAAAAAAAGAAGGATATTTTGCAATGCAACCAAGAGCGAGTACTTGTCAAGTAGACAGATGCATGTAATTTTGAAACCTCCAAGTTAATTGTAATGGACCTAGAGTTTTGCTACAATCTTATTAATAGAATATGTTTGGTCTAGAATTTTGTGTTGAAACCCTTCATGCACACAGCTAGTCCTTCTTGAGATTTTGAATAACACTTTATAATTTTGTCAGTCGTTCAACTACCCAAAGCTCAATATCGCGTTTACATAACATGAACCTGAACCAACCGATCCAGTACTCCTCCTGTACCCTACACCTTTAAGATCCAGTTTAATATTATTCTCCCATTTACACCAAAATACATCACATTTCCGCTTTCCCCAAATGTACACTCGCACTGTATGCAACTGTAAGACGGATGGCAGGTACACCGCAGACATAAATCCCCCCCCCGCCCTCGCCATCTCTCTTATTGATATTAGTGCGAAATATGTTCATGGCCATTCTTATCTCTGTGAACATTGGAAGTACTACTAACAAACTGATTATTAATTTCAGATGTAGAATCCAGACTATTCCAAATTTTAATCCCTTTCCAGTATAACAGGAATACGAAAATCAAATTTCATAAAAGAAAATGATAGTACGGCGCATTTGCTCAAAGCCAGAACTGCAGAGGCAGAGAGACAGCCGTTGCTAGGTAATGGCAGGTACACACGCAACAGAGGAACGCGTTACGTATGTTGCGACGTCAAGCAACAATAGAAGATATGTTGCAAGTAGCGTTCTCTGTGGATCCGCGCCGCTCTCGTTACCACACAACTGTGCGGTAAACACATCTCTGCAGCATGAATCAACAGGCAGCAGTAGAGGAAGCGAAGTTTTCTGCG